CTTAAAATCTTTACGATTTATGTTCTTCTGCTGTGGCTTCAGCCTGTCCCTCCGTTCAGGGTCCCTGACTTCCTGCAACACATTATGTTAGTCTTCTATTGCTATGGTGACAGATGACTAAAAACTTATTGGTTTAACACAATGCAGATTCATTATCTTACAATTCTGGAGATGAGAAGTCCTTTCTGTGGCTCATTTCTCCTTCCCTTGGTCTTCAAAGCCAGCAGTGTTGGCCTGATTTCTTCTCATGCTGCCATTTCTCTGGTTTAGTCTTCCTTAGTCACATTTTCCTCTTCCATTTTTAAGGACCTTTGTGATTCCACTGGCTAACTCTGACTATCTAGGGTAATCTTCTTTTAAGACCAGCTGATTAATAAATTTAATTCCATCTGCAAACTTAATTCCCTTTTGCTATGTAGCAACATATTAACAGGTTCTGGGGATTAGAATATGGATGTTTGGGAAGCCATTCTTCTGTCATAACCACCACTTCTATTGCTCAGTAGATCTGAATACTATTTTCCTCCCACTAGTCTTTTCAGTTCCACTTCTACTAAACCTTTGATCCATGCTATTTCATCCAACTGTCATCCTGTGGTAAGAGCATCTGATTGGCTCAGTTTGTTTATTTATACAGGTCTTTTGTATCTGGCTCTTTACATGCCATTGACTCAGAAGTTAACTGCTTGCAGGTTTGATAAAAGTCCTGATATAATTGGTTAGAAGTCAAGGACGAGGCCATACATTAGAATATTTCTAGCTATATGTAAAGGAGCCCCTATTTCATCAGGGACTGTCAAAGGGAAAGCATCCCTCAAAAAGATGTCTGTGGATATGGCAGAAATCTTGATTGCTTGTCCAAGCCAATTTCCATGGAATGAAAGTACACGTGCAAGTATTGGGAGATGGGGTTGTCAAAATTTACATACCTAAGATTTAATATGCAGAAATTTGACTGTTTCTCTTTAGGGAACTTAACTTGCTTATGAGCTGCCATTCTCTTCCCTAGGAGTGGGAAAAATTAATTTAATCACTTGACTGTTAGCCTCTTTTAGATCAAAACAACCTTTTGTGGTCCACTAAGGATTTAGTAAGTTCTATCTCTTTTTTGATATTTCTCTAATCTTCTTTACTTTGTTTCTCAGTGCCTGGGCGTAGGGAGAAACTTATGTGACAAGATATCTGATGTATTTGCTTGCTTTTGTTCTCTTGATATAGATAGTGAACTTGACTGCTACTTAGAACTTGGCCAATCTTCTCAACCTGCTTAGGGTCCCTCAGCTCTAGGTGATTCTTTACCATTATCCTTCAGCTGGGCATCTGCTTCCCACTTTCCATCTCTCAGCTTCTGCATTAGAATTTATTTGATCATGTGCAGAGCCTATCTCCTAGCAGACATACTGACCCTTGTTCCTTTCTTGCTCATTTCAAAGGGCTTTCTTAAATTTCCACATCCTGTTGAAGCCAAGCAAGATTCAGGGCATAGAGTGGCATTGCAGATTCACTTTGCCTAAACATGCCACATTTTTACCATTCACCTTTGGCTGCTCTGGGCATTGGTTTGCTCTTTTATGATGAAGTGCGATTCAGACTCCCTCCAGGTATTCTACAGCCTGAATCCCATTGTTCTCACTAATACAATGGTTAATTAAATGTATATTATAGATTTCTTAAAGTGAATAAATAATGTAATGTATGTGAAACACCTAAAAGTGATATAGAGTAGCTGCCTAAATTGATTGCTAATAATGATATAGCTGGGTGCAGTGGCATGCACCTGTAGTTCCAACTACTTGGAAGGCTGACATGGGAGGATCACCTGAGGCCAGGAGGGCTAAGATGATTGCCTCTGTGAATAGCCATTGCACCCCAGCCTGGGCAATATAGTGAGACCAGTCTCTAAAAAACTTTTTTTTTTTTTAAATAAAAAATTTTTTAAAAATTTAGGTCATCTAAAAGCTTGGAAGCATATTTAGTTTTGAGTAAAAATTTCTGGGGCATCTGTATTATGATTTCCAAGAGGTTTCTTTAGGAATTTTGTTAAGCAATTGTATCATTGAGTAATATCATTTTTTAGATATTACATTTGAAGTTATTTTAAAATGTATAATTGTGATGATTATCTTGGAACTGTGGACCTAATTAGAGCAAAATGACTTAGAACATAGATTATGTTAACATAGCTAATTAGCATAATTAACGTATTATGTTAATTAGAACAAAGATATTTAGAACATAGATTATGGTTTTTCTGCCTATCTCACAAACCATAATCTATGTTGTCATCACAGAGAAACTTGGTCTTTGAATGTTACAATGGAAGTACATTAAAGCCAGTTGGTTAAGATTGTAGGAAAGGAAGAATGTACAGGTGACAAATACTCTTTTTGTTAAGACTTACGTCAGGGTGGTAGCAGGAGAACTTGAACTGTAGGAAAACTAAAGCATACAAGTGTATCAGGAGGAAAAGCATCCTGTTTTGAACTCTCTCTATATGCTACATTCTTTCTAGTAGAGAAAAAACGAAGGCCAGTATTGCACAGCATGTGAAGAGTTGACATGATTGAAATGTAACTCTGTCTGGTGCCAAAAACTCATATTATTTCCACCGTGCTATTTTTCCTTCAAGAAAAAAATTGGATAAAATGGCAAAGCAGATAATTATTTATAAAACAGTAAGCTGAAGAAGAGGAAAAGATACCTCAAGATGTGTTTGAAATATTAATACATGAAATATTGTAGAAATATGTCTTAGTGATGGAAAGAGTTGGAAATATACACATATTATGAAAATATATTGTGTGACCATAAAACTCCATATGAAACCTTCTATTCTGAAAATTATTTACTAAACATATATCAGGAGAGCTTTGCAATAGCTCTCATGACAACAAAGATGATTGTAGTCTTTCGAACTAGAAGCAAGAGCTAGTTTTTTGGGGGGAGAGTGATATAATTTTAATTTATTTTTATTACCAAAGAAAACATTTCAGTGTGGCTTTATATATAAAATAATACAGCCAGATATTTACACTGGGGGTTCTAGACTTAAGCTTCTTGACTTAATTTTTTTCACATTTATTTGTGAGTTAGGTCTTGTTTTTGTTAAGTAGTTAAAAATTATCCTAAAAGGAAATTTGAGAGGCATAAATTTATATATTTGAGAAGATACATACTTGAAATAAATTGTTTCTGCAGACTTATAATCTATTTATTCCTTAAAGCACCAAATAATTAATATGTCCGGCACATGTATGAAGAGACTTAATAAATGACATTACTTGAAGTATAGATTGCACATCTGAACTAATCTCCACCTATGAAGCGTATTGTATTCCCTATACCACAGGAAGGAGGTTAGACTGCATAGAGAAATGGACAAGGTATTAATGGTACAATGCACACTACATTTCACACCAATTAGCTCTGTTGGTTTTACTGCAAAGAACTACGTATCCTGGATCAATTAAAATGATGTTGAAGTTTATCTATTTGTACCCCAAATCAATTAATCAATATTCCTGAATCTTATCTTAGTCTGAAATGAAAGAGAGAGCTTTGCATTGGATGAAGTTTTTCATGGATGACATGGGTCTTAAAAAAAAAAAAAAAAAGTTCACTAATCTGCCCCTTAGCAGAAAACATAAGCAATCTAGTAAAATGCAGGACTCCTGGATGAATCCGAATATGGAGATTTTGTCACTAAATTAACGTGCCTTGAGTACTTTGAGTGAAAATCTATAAGTTCAAAGTTCACATGAGTATGGAAAAACCTCATAGTGTGAGTGAGTCACTTTTAGGAGTAAAAATGGATTTAAATCTTTACAAAATATTAATTTTAATTTCAAATAAATTTTAATTTCAAATGAAAAATTGTAAGTTCATGTAAAACTAATATGCTCTGTAGTCAATAAATGTCAGTATGTATCTGTGTTCATCTGAAGCCAGTATGCACCAGTGTTACCAGTGTGCAGCTGGGATCATACTGTAGAACCTGTTGGTAGTAAAGCAGAATGTTGGAGTTGGGCCAGAAAAAAGCAGGGTTGAACTGGTTCCTGTATGTGCCTGGATTCACTTCTCATAAGACAGTAAAAACCTGCCAGGTCCTGGCTTTCAAAGATGGTTTAGTCATGCATGTGCACCCCATCTGTTGGATGCATGAGGGATTTCCTTCTCATCTCAGCCCTCCAGCCACAAACACTGTGACTGCTTCCCCTCCAACCGCCCTTTCTTTAATTCTTCCTCTCCTGCTGAGAGTGTACAGGCTGTGTAAGACAGGTGCAGCTTATGCCACTCTGGGGAAATCCTTCCATAGACACTAAGGTGAGCCAGAAAGGTAGTCAAATTTTTCTTTTGGCACCTAGCTTAATTTCAGTGTGCTTTAATTCAGTGATTAAAAACTAACAGCGGCATTTACTTTGATAATAAAAAATAAATACGCCATTACAGTTCTAACCAAAACCATAATGACCTTCATCTCCTCTATATGTGAACTGTCCCTAAAGCTCCTCTTGTTATCTAGATGAACATGGGCAGGGGCTTTATATGTATTCTCTCTCTCTCTCCATTCTGTAGCACATAACCCTTCCTCCTACCTTTGTTTTCCACACTCCTGCAGGTTTGACCTCCCATGCTCCACTTTGCCTTCTGTTGTCTAGGATGGTACCCTTTCTCTTACGATGCTGATGACAGATAATACCCAGTTTCGAGATTGGACAATGCAGCATCAAGCTTCAAAATTGCATGTACAAACCATTGTGGTACAAGACGTTTTACAACCTGTTAACATAACCTCTGTTTTGGCAAGCTGGTGGTCTTAGAGCAAATTTATATTTACGTATTTTTTCCTGACACTCTCAAACTCCAAAAAGATCAATATAAAGAAAGAACAGGGTGGTGTTTCTAGTCAGTTGTTTATAGTTTTAAATACATTCTAATGGGAACTTGTAAGCCAAATAAGTAACTATTGTTCTTATTGTTGTTTTTTTTCTTTCATGTAGATTTATGAGAAATATCAAGATTTGTATACTGTGGAACCAAATAATGCACGCCAGCTGGTAGAAATTGCAGCCAGGGATATTGAGAAACTTCTAAGCAACAGATCTAAAGCCCTGGTGGTGAGTTTAAATCGGATGTGCTCATTTTATTATTTTCCTTACTTATCTATTATTTAATTTTCATGCCCTATTGAGGGGTTTTCTTTGGTATGCGTTCTTCTTCTTAGTAACTGTGTTCATCTGATATGTTCATAAAAGATGAGATATTATGGTTTAATTGCAAACCCTAAATATTTCTAATTTTAGTTTCTATTACTATTATATTTTAATAATATATGTTTAATTGATTATATGTATCCATATGTACATCATGACACATAATAATAAATTGAACATGTTTAAATCCATATGTACATCATGATAGATAATAATTGAACATGTTTAAATCCATATGTACATCATGATAGATAATAATAATTGAACATGTTTACACAACATAAAACCCAGAATATTATCATCCTCTTTAGTTGTATAGTCTCTTATTCCATCACCCTTCCTCTCTGCTAGAGGTGGCCAAAATGCTAGATATTCAAGTTATCATTTTTTTCTTTTTAAAAATGGTTTTCCCTCACAAAAATGCTTTGCTGAACAAGTTATTCTTTAGTTTGCTTACTTTTTAGCATTATCAAATTCATGTCACACTGTATGTAGTCTTCAGCTACTTGGTTTTCTCCATCAATATTATGTTTGTATGATTTATATGTATGTTTGCACTTAGATTTAATTCATTATTTCAGTTAAATACTTCTCTGTAGGTAAATTATTTGGATTATTCCAGATGAATGCTATTATGAATAGTGCTGCTGAATTTTCTTGAACAAGTCTCATAGTACTTATGTGCAAGAATATCTGTAGGGTCAATACAGGAGAGTAGAATTGCTAGATTGTAGTGTATTCGCAGAGTCAGCTTTATAAAATATGACAATTGTTTTCCAAGATAATTGTATCAGTTCAGACCTTCACTAGTTGTATATGAGCTCGCATTGATACATATTCTGGCGGACATGTGAAAGTGTTACACTTCTTAATTATAGGCAATCAAATGGGTGTAAATAGTACCTCTGCTTGTCACTAATGAAGGAGACATTTTGGTGTATATTCATTTACCTTTATTGTTTCCTCTTCAGTGAATTTTTTTTGTAATTTAAAATATTGATTTGTAGGTTATGTATTCCTGATGCTAATTCATTTTAGTTATATATGACCCAAGCATCTTTTTCAAGTGTATGCCTTGTCCATTGCTTTTATTGTGATTTTTGATGAGATAAATTCTTAATTTTATTGCAAAGTCAACATTTCTTTTAATTATTAGTATTGTAGAGTGTTTTCTTTAAGAAATCCTTGCCTACCCTGAGGTTATACACATAATTTAATATATTTCATTTTACCTGATTCTAAGCTTTGTCTTTTGCATTTATGTGTTTAGTCCACTTGCAAGTTATATGAGTATATAATTTCAGTCTGCATTTCAAATTATTTTTTCCAAGGAATTTTTCCAGGACATTTATAGAATAGTTTGCCTTCCCCTAGTGAACTCCAGTTGTCCAGCTCAATATCAAGTAGGCTGATGTGATTTGGCTGTGTCCCCACCCAAATCTCATCTTGAATAGTAGCTCATATAATTCCTACGTGTTGTGGAAGGGATGTGGTGGGAGGTAATTGAATCATGGGGGCGAGTCTTTCCCGTGTGGCTCCCATGATAGTAAGTCTCATAGGATCTGATGGTTTTATAAAGGGGAATTCCCTTACACATGTTCTCTTGCCTGTTGCTATGTAAAATGTGACTTTGCTCCTCCTTTGCCTTCCGCCATGATTGTGAGGTGTCACCAGCTGTGTGGAACTGTGAGTCAATTACACCTCTTTCCTTTATAAATTACCCAGTCTGGGGTATGTCTTTGTTAGCCGGGTGAGAACAGACTAAATACATAGGCTAAGTCCCTCACTATATTCTTCTTCAGAATAATCTTGAGTATTCTTAAACTCTTACCGTTTATCTAAATTTTAGATTCAGCATATAATTATCCAGGAACATGTCTGCTGGGATTTTGTTTTGTATTATATTGACTCAGATCAAAGTGAGAAGAATTGATATTTTTATTATATTTTGTCTTTCTATTTATACATAGTATCTCTCATTTAGCAGTATTTTACACCATTTGATAAACTTTAACAATTTTTTTTTTCATAAACTTCTTATACATCTTTTGTTAGATATAATGCTGGAGCTTCAGTTTAGCTTCTCTTATTCTTTGTTTGTTTGTTTTTGAGATAGCGTCTCACTTCATTGCCTAGCCTGGAGTGCAGTGCACAATCACTGCTCACTGCAGCCTCAACCTGCTGGGCTCAAGCAACCTTCCCATCTCAGCCCTCCAAGTAGCTGGGAGTACAGGCATGTACCACCATACCTGGCTAGTTTTTTAATTTTCTGTAGAGATGAGGTCTCCCTATGTTGTCCAGGCAAGCCTTTAACTCCTGGGCTCAAGTGATCCTATTGCCTTGTCCTCTGAAAGAGCTGGGATTACAGGCATGAGCTACTGCGCCTAGCCTGGTTCCTCTTATTGTATAGTTTTCAGTATATTTATGGATATTTGTCTCAATACAACTCTGAATTTCCTATTTACTTAATACTCAGAGTTCAGATTTTTTTGTTTACTATGTTTTATAAATATCTTGACCCTCAGAAATTTTCTATGCTTTCTTAGATACTTCTAAATCTTTATATTATGCTTCTTCAAGTATCCAAGATATTGTTGTAGTGTAGCAGGTATGTTGCTTGGAAATTCTGTTATGCCATGTTGCTAGAAGTTGAAACATTTAATTAAAAATAATAACTGAGGCCAGATGCAGTGGCTTACTCCAGTAATCTCAGCACTTTGGGAAGCTGAGTTGGGAGGATCACCTGAGGTCAGGAGTTCAAGATCAGCCTGGCCAACATGGTGAAACCCCGTCTCTACTAAAAATACAAAAATTAGCTGGGTGTGGTGGCAGGTGCCTATAATCCCAGCTACTCCAGAGGCTGAGGCAGGGAAAATTGCTTAAACTCGGGAGGCAGAGTTTGCAGTGAGCTGAGACCACGCCACTGCACTCCAAACTGCGCGAAAGAGCAAGACTCTGTCTCAAAAAACTAAAAATAAATAAATGAATAAATAAAAATAATAATAATTGAGTAATCCATAGGAAGATAAACTTTCTTTACTGGAAAATTCAAAGCATTATTATCTTCAATTTTGGAGATAAGAATACAACTTTTAAGCATTTATTTATGTAAATGTTTTTAATAAAAACTTATCTGATAAAAATAAGGTGCTACCTACTGAAGTGATTAATATTCAGGTGACAGTGGAAAATGATTAGATTTATATTGATTTTATCAGTCTACATTTTTCCTCTGGATGTAGGAAGAAGGTTATTTGGACATCATAGTCCCTTAAAAAAGGTTGTGGAATGAAATAGTGTATGTCTTGCCTTAATTGGATTAAAGTATAATCCTATTGAGACTTTCTTATTTCTCATTTGGAATGGAAGCTCAAGACACCTGGAGCATTATTTGAGTCTTGTGAGGGATCAGTAGAATATCTTAGGCACGTGGTGACAGAATACTGAAGACACAATGGCTAATTAAGTGTAGAATAGTTCCATTTTATTTCAGGGAGACAGATTCATGTTTGTTTTCAAACTAAATTCTTTGCTTAACTTCCTTGATTCTACAAAAATAGAAAACATTATTTCAAAGAGAAATATTTTGAGGCTAATGGAAAAACATATGCTACATTGTATTATAAATGAATGCAAGATGGCATTGTTAATTTGCTTGTATTTTTGTTGTAGGCTTATACTCAGGGAGACATCTGGATTAAAGGAGCTTTATTTCTTCTGGGTGGGACACTAATATAATTTTATAGGTAAATATAGTGGAAAACATCATGAATATACAAATCTAAGGTAGATGATAAAATTTAATACCAGTTAGACTTTATTGAGTGGTTACTAAGTAGCATCATCGAATTATTTCCCATAATAATGCTATGGTAGAGACACCAGTATTAGTCTCATTTTTCAATGAAGAAACTGGGACTTTGAGAGTTCCTGAAACTTGCCCAAGGAAATATATCTAATAAGTAATGTTTGCCAGTGCTTGTCAAACTTTAATATGCATGCAGATCACCCATGGCTCTTGTTAAAATGCAGATTTTTATTCAGTAGATCTGGACAGAGACAGTACATTTCTAATAAGCCACCAAGCATAAGGTAATGCGTACGCTCCTGGTACAAAGACTATACTTTTAGCAGCAAGAATGTGAAATTTGAATGTGAATTTGAATGTAAAATTCAAATTCAAGTGTGTCTGACTTCAAGATCTGCATTCCTAGTTATTACACAAATACATCCTTTGACCTAAAGAAGTGTGTAATCATAACAAGGAAGAAATGATGGCTAAGTAGTATTTTGTAAACTTCTATTCATCCATGCTGAATAATTAGATGATCTAGGTGATAGAATATTCTGGAAGGCTTTTAATTTTTCAATGAATCCTGTATCAATTAACCATTTTCAAAAAAATAATTTAGTGAAAGAGACTATATGGTATTCAAACAATTTTCATTTTGAGTTTGAAAAATTTTAAAACCTTTATTATTCTTTGGTAAACATAAGATACCTCTGAAAATATAAATGTGAACACTGTGAGAGAAAAATAAATGTAACTGGTTGTTTTCTTATATGCCTTCTAAAGAAATTACTTAACAGTCTTTGATAATTCAGGTTTTTGAAAAAAGGAAATTAAAAACTGGAGGGTTTTTGGGTGAAATTATTGCTTTTTAGTATCTGCAATAATTGTTATTGTACATACATGAACATGGATTTTATGTATTTGAAGATTAAATTGTTAATCCTATCTTTTATAATATTTTTGATTAAAAAGTCAATTTAACTTATTGCCTTATGTGCTATCTTGTTTTTGTTTATATGTTTGACTCTAAACTACTTATTTCAACTTTACGTTGCACTCATTTGTGCTTTTGTCTTTTGATCAGCTGCATCTACCAGCCTTAGAAAGAGCTGAAAGATAAAATGATATCAAAACATTTTCGTTGCTGTCTCTTTGATAGCAATTTTGCTTTTTTTTTTTTGGTGGGGGGGCTTGTTACTATATAAAATCATGTTATGATTCTGATGACTCATATATATTAGGCCCTTACAGAAACTCTGTAAAGTAGACACATTAAACATTTATGCATTCTTATTTTATAAATGAGGAAATTTAGAATACCAATGTTCTTATCCGAGACTGTGTAGATAGCATGAGGTGGTGGTAGAATTCAACTTTGACTTCTGTCTAAAATCCAGTTTTTTTTCCCTCTAAACCCACATTCATAATTTGAACCATTTTTTATTTTCAAGATGTGTTTGCTAAATGACTTGTTTTTCTGACATTTGCTATGTCTGTGTCTCAGGAACTGGCTCCCTGCAGTGATTATCTGACTGTTATCATTGGATTATTCTTAAGCAATCTCAAATCAAACTGTTTTGAAGCAAAAAAAGATGCAGTCATTTAACATTATTATGAACATACATTTCAGCTTGAACTAGGCTGAAATATCTGCAAGTGTTAATGAACAATTCACAGGAGAAAGCTTTTCAACAAAGCAGTCCAACCTCCAGTGCGGCCTTCTGAGAGATGGAGGTAAATGAAATCAGTGGTCTCATTGTTCACCAACCAGCCCAGCCAAGGGGATCTGCTCAGTAAATGAAGGTCTCTAGGCATTTTGCTCAAAGGAAATAGGATCAAGGTTACAATAAACAAATTTTTCTGGTGACACTTTCCAATTATGGCATATTCTGTCTCCCTCTGGTTGTCCTGGTAACTTTAATTAAAGCTGCTCCAGTCTATTTTGGAGCTTTAAATACTGTAATATACTCCAACTCTTAATTCAACCTTGATATTGAGCTTATGATTAGATAACAAGAAGAGGAACATGACAAATGTTCTCAAGTGATTTTTAAAGTAGGTTTTGTTTTTGTTTTCCTGGAAGTACTAGATTATTGTTATTTAACCAAATAGTTGTTTTTTGTTTTTTTTTTTATTTTTCTTTAACTCTTAGGCCAGTCATTCTATATCATTTCTATTTGTCAGCAGTGCCAATAACATTTTATAAAAATGCAGGTTTCTGATCTTTATCTCTAGGGATTTTAACTAAAAAATGTGGAAAGAAACTCAAGAAAAATTAGATCCAAAGAAGTGAGAAGGGGGATCCAGGAAGGAATTCTGAAATTCTTTAGAGACTCAAAGAAGAATACAAAATTCATTGTGTTTGGCTATTAGGGGTCATTGGTTTACTTTTGTGAGAATAGATTCAATAGAATGCATTGGAACAGAATAAAGATGGTAGTGTTAAGGAGTGATTGGAAAGTGAAACATTGGCAAGAAATTTGTCTGGATTTTCATGAAGTTTGGTAGGACAGTGAAGGAAAATGTGGAGTACTACTAAAGCATGTTTTTCTTTCTTGTTTATTTTTGACACTGGAGGACATATAAGCATGCTTATAGCTAGAAAAGCAGAAATCTATGAAATTTGAAAATAAGAAAAATATAGTCTGAATGTTGAAGGATGATTCCAGAAAAAGCAGACAGAGAGAGATCGAGGTCATGCAATTTTCTTTGAAAAGATTTTGGAACCTTTCACTTGGGACAGAAGGAATATTATTAGATGTAAATAAAGACAGTTTTGCAGGTAGAGAAAATTTAAAAGTCACAATGGATGACCACTTTTCTCTTGGTCAAGTAGAAGGGGATATTATATGTAAGATAGAAGGGGCTATGGGAGTCTTGGGGACTTGTTGAAGATTTGGGAGAGCAAAGTAAGAAAAGGTGAAAGGAGTCTATTATGGGTAAGTAAAATGACTGAGGAATAAAATCTAGGGCCTTCCTAATACTGAGAAGAATCAGAAGATATAAAACACCCTCATATTCTAAAAATGAGGTTCCAAGCTACATATGAATTTCAAAGACCTTTCTGAAAACTCTGTGTTTATGTAGATGTGCATATTTTGATCATTAATCCAGAATCTGTCTGGAGGGTATAAATTATCCAGGTTAAAGAGAACAGGAGAAAAATTCCTTTGAAAGAGGTATAAAATGTTGTGCCATTTGCTTTCTCCAAGGAGAAAAGTATGCTTACCCTTCTCTGTAATCTTAGTGTAAATGTCTTTGAGAAGATTACTTAGACAGCTAATACATTTCCCTTTGAGTCTGAGTGGTGAAGGGATTAGGTAATCCATTATTGTTTTGCAAAATTGAGATTACTTTTATTTATTTGGATTTGATACATGCCTGTGGATGCTAAAAGGGAAGTGCTGAGGCTCGACATGTTTACCTGGTGACAGGGCAATGAGACACGGCATCAAGGGCCACAAACTTACATACAAAACAAGGCAGTGTGAGATGGAGCTGGTCTCGGACAGGACCCAACAGGGCTTCCTGCCAGGAACAAAACTAGTTTAGCGGAAAGAGCGTAGAAATATACTGTCAAATGGGAGCTGAGAGGCTGGGGTTTAAATGACCCTCAGAAGTATTACATTGCAACTGAATGTCCTGGGTACCTCCAAACAACTGGGAAAGTATCTCAATAAAGGAATAAGTCAGTGTTGAACATCCATCAGCTGCAGAGAGTAACAACACATAATTATAGTCAAGAAAAGGCCATCTGTTGTGAACTTTCTCATAGTGCCATTGCTGAAATCACTGTGCTTGAGCTGCTAAGTAGTGTCAAGATGAAATCAGGAGGAAAAACTTGGAGAGTGGACATAGCCATCTACCACATTCCCCATCTGAAGTTTCTCTGTCTGAAGCAGTACTAACATAGTAATGGGATTTTAAATGAATTTTACATTAAGCTTAGATATTTGATTTTTATTCCAGACTAGATATTGTAATTGATTAACTGAGACTACTTTTAGCAATAACACTTTTATGTACAATGGTGAGTGGAAAAATTAGGGAACCTGAAAGGCATAATGTTGTGTTCAAGTATGATTAATAGACAAGCCAACAAAAGGATGATTTAAACAGAGTGTGGATTTATTTTTCCTCCTGTAATAAGATATACATAGGTAGGTAACTCAAGAGATTTCCAGAAATCCCACTGTGTTACTTCTGTGTCTATCTCACTGGGCAACCTTTGGCTGCAAGGGGGATAAGAAATGTAGTTTTAGCCAGGCCATTGCTTCTCTGAACAAAATTGGGCGAACAATTACAATGTATATCCCACCAGTTGATGTCTATGTGAAGACTTTTTCAGGATTTAATATGAGTTTTATGGAAGACGGTCTAGAGAAAAATCATTTTAAAGAAGCAGAGGAGAGGAAAGGAAACGTTGTTTTCTGTGGGCATTTTTTATATGGAGCCCCACCTTTCAATGTAACAGTTATATTCATAATCAAATCAGCTTTCTCTAACACGGCTTGGCATAATATGAAGAGTAGAAAACTGCAATTACTTTTGCACCAACTTAATAGAATGAGAAGACTGTTGAATCCATCTAGGATTGAGGATTAGCAAAGTAAACTTTGTAAACATCAAGGATATTTGAGAATAGTCAACAGTAGTTGAAGTATTTGAAACCAGGAACCATGTTAGATAGGATCTGATAATGGTCAAGAAATAAGAGTTCAAGGGAGTAGATGTTTTTTATGTGGATAAAGTGTACATTTATAAGGAACAGTGGAGACACAAGAAGTTGTGGTAAAGGACAGAAATTTAAGAAATTAAGTGTTCTGGGTAAAAAGAATGTAGAGGCATGAGTGAATGAGCTGGTTACTTAGATGGAGAAGAGTGAAAGTTTTTGGAGTTTTACTAGAAAAGGGGCAAATTAATCATTAGCATTTATTGACTGTCTGCAGTGGTCCAGATACTTTGCTAGGCACTTTCCATATATTTCTAATACTATTTCTGTTCTGCGAAGTACATATAGTTGTTTTTACTGTACACATGGGAGAATGAAAGCCTGGAGAAGTTGAATACATTGCCCAAGTTTACACAGCTAGCAAAGAATTCAAACCCAGTTGTATATACAGTAAGTTCTCACTTAACATCATTGATGGGTTTTTGGAAACTGCCACTTTAAATGACACACTATATAACGAACCCAATTTTCCCACTGACGGATATAAGCAAATGTGAAGTGTCCATGGCATATTCCTGGTCACAAAAATATCACTAAACTTTTACATAAACACCAAAAACTTCTGTTATTAAACACGGAAATAAATGTGAGCTATACATACATTTAAGAAAGATTAACATGAACGAGTAAGATAATTATTTACGTAATTATCCCAGTTCAGAGTGTTAGGTGGCCAGAACCTCTCCAGAAGCTCAGGGTACAAGATGGGAACCTACCCTGGACAGGACATCATCACATCACCGAGTGCCCTCATTCCTACACCCACACCTACTTGTCATGGGACAAGTGAGACATGCCAGTTTACCCAATGTACATATCTTTGGGATGCTGGAGGAAACTGGAGTACCCGGAGGAAACCTATTCAGACATGGGGAGAACATGCAGACTCCACACAGACAGTTCTCTGGCCAGGAATTGATTTTCATTTTTTTCTCATCAGTGTTACAACAAAACGATACCGAACAAACCAACGTTATTTGAAGACCTGCTGTATCTACAAAAATACTTGGTGTTCCCTTGTGTGTCCTGTCATTTGTTTAAAAGCTTACAACATTAACTTATCTAATCTTTACATAGTGCATAGCTGAAACTAAGAAAGGTTAAATGACTTCACCACATCTTACATAGAGTGAGAGATTTGGGCTGGAATTCTTGTGTTTATGTTATCTAACTTTTAGGTGGCTGCATCATGTTTCTCAGCTCCATGGCACCTCAATAATTGTAGCCAAAATGTATTTGTCTGTCATTTGTCCAGTTAAATCAAAGTAGTCTGTCCAGTTGACATGTAGCTATTATAACTAAGAAAACCATATTAATGCTCTACTGGGGTCTCATAGTACCATTATATTTAAGTCCTTTAAAGTCAGCAACGTCATTTATTTTGCTTGCCCTACAGCTTGTAACACCTACCTAGAGGCTACCGAATAAAATTCAGACATAACCTGCAGAATATCTTTCCAGTGAATGATTGCCCAATGGAATGCCTCTTGATTTTTGAAATCCAATCTGCACAGACTAGACTGAGCTTTCACTAAGATGTTTTTGTTTCCTGTTTTGCTTTTTGCTGATGCTTATAAGGCACCTACTTACGTTGACATCTTCCAATCTCATGTTTTTAACAAAATAACATGTGATTCACGTTACAGATAGTAGAACATCAGAATCATGTGGAGATACCTTGAAATGTAGTCCAGGTGCCAACTTAGGAGATGTGCATGTTTTCTGCCAACAGTGAAAGGCCAAGTAGGGCCTGTAGACGCTGTCTGTTAACATCCTGTTCATTGTGTGAGCAGGAAATGATGCCTGTAGCCCTTTACACCCTAATATATAGTTTATAACATTTGTCCACGCACCTTGGCACTTGGCAAGTGTCTATTTTATTGTTTTCTTTAGGTGGTTGAAAGCTGGTTGTGAGGGGTTTGGGTTGATATAAAAATGTTCTGTTTTTTTTTCACTTAATAAATAATAGGCTATCAGAATTTTCACTCAGAACATCAGATTTTTCTGAAGCAGATTACTGCTTAAGTGGGAGATGCCTGTCCTGCTTGATACCATTTGTTAATGTGGTAAATGGAAAGTTACACACTGGAGAGGCATCTTTATAGATTTTTAAGTCTAAAGTAATTATAATGGTAGGAATTTGGGGCCAAACAGAAGAGATGGTGAAACACTAAGTGCTGTATTTACGACCTTTTCAATTACACCAAGGAGACAGATCCATTTACCTGTAACTGTGCTGGTACTCTCTACCACACTCAGCATTTTAAGTTTTATAACATTTTGTTCTGATTAATGTATTATCTATAGGTTAGCAGTGAAGTGTTTTAAAACAACTTCCTTCCTTCCTTCCTTCCTTCCTTCCTTCCTTCCTTCCTTCCTTCCTTCCTTCCTTCCTTCCTTCCTTCCTTCCAACTTCTTTTCTCTCTCTTGCTCACTCTCTCTCTCTTTCTTTCCTTTTGAAGGAATTTTACTCTTGTCACCCAGGCTGGAGTATGATGGCGACCTCCACCTCCCAGGTTCAAAGGATTCTCCTGCCTCAGTCTCCCGAGTAGCTGGTATTACAGGCACCAACCACCACACCCAGCTAACTTTTGTATTTTTAGTAGAGATGGGTTTTCACCATGTTAGCCAGGCTGGTCTCAAACTCCTGACCTCATGTAATCCGCCCATCTCAACCTCCCAAAGTGCTGGGATTACAGGCGTGAGCCACTGTGCCCGGCCAACCACACTTTCTGTTGTAAATCTGTCATTGCTAGAGAATGCGTTTTCCTCCCACATTCCATGGAGTAGTGTCAGGACTAAATGGGTATTTTAACAAAGGCACTTTTGAAAAAAAGGTAGTAGTCAAATATACCTTTAAGATAGAAAGCACAGTTAATGGTATAGGGCACCTATTTAATGGAAGGTTCAGACATGGAAAGGTTTGGGGCAACAGTGATAGGCTGTCTTCTAAACAAAATCTCTTGGAAATGAGATTCTTAGAGTTGGCTTTAGGATCAGAAAGCAGTATCTAATGTATAATTTATGTTCTGTAATACAGCATGGGGAGGGAGTGTTGGGTTTGTGATTACTTTGAGCAAAATGAGAATTAGCTCAAGTGACTTGCAAAACTTGCTCAGGCAAAAACTACACAATTTGTAGAGCCTAGTACAAAATGTAAATGTGAGGCTCTTCTTAATAAATTATTAGCATTTCAAAAGGGCAGCATCAGGAATGAAACCAAACATGGGGTCCTTCTGAGTGTGGAGTCCTCACCAAGTCAGTCAGCATCATCTGACTGCACAGATCTCACACCCACCGAAGCTGGCTGGTCCTGCACATAGGTCGTTAGTGGTAGAGCTGGAACCAGAACTTGGGATTCTCAGCTGCTTGTACCACGTTCTTTCTATGATGATAGTCATCAGACTTTACTTGGGGACTTCAGAGTCTATGAAATCCTTGATGATTGTTGCAAGATAATCCCAAAGTGAGGCAAAAAAAGAAAAAAAAGAAAAAAATCCGTATGTCATTTCACCTCTTTTTTTCCCCCACAAAATAGCAAGCTCGCCTCAACAGAAATGCTCTGATCTGAATGTGCTAGTTAATAGTGTTTTGGGTAAAAATAAATATAGAGAAACAGTGCTGATTCAAGGCCAACCTCTTCGATTCACATAATGGAATCTTTAAAGAGAACTTCACTTCATGGTATCCCATAAATTCAAAGACAATCTGATCAAGTAATGTTTGCTAACATTAAACAACATTTAGTCATTTATAGAGTTGAGCTAAAAGTGGTGTTCTGATTCCTAAATGTTAACTTTATTTTTTAATCTGTTGATGTTTACTTTTCCCTTTTCCTTGTTAACCCCTTATTATCTCCCCACAGAATAAAATAAACTCTAAATCTTCCTCTGTAAATTCACTTGCTAACTTGTACTGAATAACATGAAGGTAGAAGCCCGTTGTGAGATGCCCAAACCCATTCTGGCTTTTATATATACACAGGTGTTCTTTGGATCTGTTCTTCATAATTGTTCAAAGCTGCTGCAGCTGCTGCTGCTGCTGCTGCTGCCACTGCCGCCGCCGCCGCCGCCGCTGCCGCTGCCTCTTCCTCTTCCTCTTCCTCTTCCTCTTCCTCTTCCTCTTCCTCTTCCTCTTCTTCTTCTTCTTCTTCTTCTTCTTCTTCTTCTTCTTCTTCTTCTTCTTTCTTCTTTCTTCTTTCTTCTTCTTTCTTCTTCTTTTCTTCTTCTTCTCCTTCTTCTCCTTCTTCTCCTCCTTCTTCTCCTTCTTCTTCTTTCTCCTCCTCCTCCTCCTCCTCCTCCTTCTCCTCCTTCTCCTTCTCTTTCTTCTTCTTTCTTCTTCTTCTTCTTTTTGAGACGGAGTCTTGCTCTGTCGCCTAGGCTGGAGTGCAGTGACGTGATCTCCGGTCACTGCAAGCTCCACCTCCTGGGTTCACGCCATTCTCCTGCCTCAGTCTCCCGCATAGCTGGGACTACAGGCACCCACAACTAGGCCTGGCTAATTCTTCTATATTTTTTTAGTACAGACAGGGTTTCACTGTGTTAGCCAGGATGGTCTCGATCTCCTGACCTTGTGATCCACCCGCCTTGGCCTCCCAAAGTGCTGGTATTACAGGCGTGAGGCACTGCACCTGGCCCATAATTGTTTAAAGCTTCTAAAGTCAAAAACTACATTTGCAAGATTAGTTTTCTACGATTTTAAAAAAATCTCCTGACACAATTTACCATTAGAATGATGGAATGCTGTGTCACTTTAATTAAAGTATCATGGATCATACATCTTTTTAAAATTTATTTTTATTATTTTTTTGAGACAGGGTCTCACTCTGTTACCTAGGCTGGAGTGCAGCAGCACTATTATGGTGCACTGCAACCTTGACCTTCTGGGTTCAAGCAGTCTTCCTGCCTTGGCCTCTCGAGTAGCTAGGACTACAGACACATGCTACCATGTCTGGCTAATTAAAAAAATTTTTTGTGTGTGAAGACAGGATCTTCCAGTTTTGCCCAGGCTGGTCTCAAACTCTTGACTTCAGGGGATTCTCCCACTCCCACCTCAGCCTGCCAAAGTACTGGACTTACAGGCGTGAGCCACCATGCCTGGCCCCAAATCCTACATCTTGATGGAATTTTGGAATTTCAGTTTTTTGGTCTTTTCATCTCGCA